GTGGTGGTGGTGGTGGTGGTGATGTTCCGAGATGTGGAATCAGCTTTCGAGGCAGTGCAACGCAAGATCGCGTTGTCTGAATACAAGCAGCTGAGAGATCATTACGGACCACTGAAGACGAAACGAGCTCAGGGGTTCGAGCTCAGGGATCTCTCTCTTCTTTCCTTCCTTCCCTTGGGGACAGGTCTGCACGCAGAGAGATCCCTCTCGCTCTCCCACTTCCCACACTCTCATTCTCACTGTCCCATACCCCACCACTGAATCACGGCGGGTCTTGCAAGGTGTCTGTTTGGCCTCGTACAGCTCTAGCTCTGCCCGTCCCGAATCCCTCATTGAAACCCGGACTCGAAGGCTTCACACCCCCGCCAACTCACCGACAGGCAAGCTCAAAGAATGAGTTCGGCACCTCTGTGACGACTGGTGCTATCACAGTCGCCCTGACCGATTCGGAAGTTTGTGGTGCGGGGCACGTCGGGGGTTTGGGGGGTCTGCGGACTTCAGATCGTTGTTTTAATCGTTGATGAGTCGTAGTGGGCAGGAGGGGAATCATGCTGCCAGAAGTCTGCCCTCGGACGATGGGCTTGGAGCTGGCAGGTCGGGCTTGTATCGCACAACAAAGGTAGACCAGAACATGCAATGCTAGTAGAGACTGCCACAGATACCCTCTTCGATACTGGACACCCGAAAAGTAGCCGCAACCGTCTACCACCCGGTCAAAAGCATGCTTCAGCAGCTGTAGCACGCTAGTACGACGCTTTCCTGGTTCGTGTGCGGTCTGTAAAAGATTTCATTTTAACTTCTCGGCGAATGCGCTCGCCGTGCCAAGGCTGCATCAAATGCACGAAAGACCTGGGCTTCGACTTCGACTCCTCGGAATCCTTGGGTTTTGTGTGAAGAACTGCAAGGCTCTGCACGTGGCTTCAGCTGTAAGCTCAACGCAAATTGCCGTTCGGAATTGCGGGTTGAATGCTCTCAAGTTTATGTGATTCGAACCTGGCCCCGGCCTCTGCATGCTCTGCCGCTGGGAAGACGTCATTTGCATCCCCTCCGCGCTTGAGAGGTAGTCGGCCACGGCGCCTCCCCAAAGAAGCTTCGATGACTTTCAGTTGTCCAGTTGCATGATTTACGGAAACACTCTTTCGGATGTCGCAACAAGGCTGATGTTGAGTTTTGCGGCTGTCAGGTCTGGAGGGGAAGACGATGAAACTGCACTTTCGGGAACAAAGTCTTCTGCCGGGCGGCCTGGAGAGTCTACATAACTTCACAGCAGACTGTCTGAGTCCTATGCTTGAGCGGCTCATGTCGGCTGGTCGCTACACCTCGAGTACTTGTAGTACTTCCCTCCCGGCAAAAAGAAGCTCGGCCTACCATCTCCGATTCCGCAAGTTTCCTCTTTGCGTAGATCTTCGAGGACTCAGTATCGAGCACCAGGTCATGAAGCAAGGGCACTGCAAATGTGTGGATTGTTCGCCTGGGGTATGGCACGTCTGTCTCAGCTTGGCAGAAGCTGCAGCTTTTCGCTAAACCCTGCAATCCTCTGACTAGTTAACTGGAACCTCGCACTCAGGCGTCCACAGGACTTTCAAGCGCAACGACAAAGACGTTCGGTCGGCTCTGCAATTAATGGCGGGGTACACGCATGGTGCTACTTGGAGTATGGCACCGACCTAGAGGACGGCTCTTCGAGGTTTAGTCCAAGAACAACGAAAATTCTATGAAAGTGCTGGACGAACCGGACATGTCGAGGCCCGGACCACCGGCGCCGATTGGGTGTTGCAGGTGTTGGGAAGCTGCCTTCTCCAGCAATGGCAGCTTCCCTCCTGCAGTCTCGGAGCCAGGTTACGGAATATGGAAAATTGCAGCGTGGCACCACCAAAGCAAGATGTAAAGAAACACTTGAGGCTGCAAGCAGATCACATCGGCTTCGGAAACGGAGGGCCTCGGATTGCTCCACATCGGGGTCGGCTTCACACCAGAAGAGGTTGCAGTTGTAGCCCCTTGGTGGACGAAGCGTGACCAGAGTGGTGCCAAGTATGGGGTACGAAGAATTGTCGGAATGCCGAGACGCTACATACCTGCCCCGGAGGCTGCAAGTTTGCAGTCGGAGAAGCCAGGTTTGATGCACGAGCGAACACTCGACTGAGATCTGAGATCTTGGCCAGCTCGCTGGAGTGTAGGTCGTGCTCATAGGCCTCAGCTCCAGCTCTGCGAGACAGCACGGTCCCGACTTCGACTCCCCGACTCCCCGACCTCTGATCCTGAAATCACCGAGTCCGGGCCAAGCCACGCAAACATGGCATCGTTGCAAACGCTAACCTTCCGGAGGGGAAGGCACGGGGCGTCCGGCGGATGAGCGCTTCAGAGGATCTCCGTTCAGCTTCGTGAAGTCTTCTCAGTGAGAACTAGAACTCAGGTGGTCGCCGATAGTGCGCTGCTCACTTGAGAAGGCACTTCAGCAATAGCACCCCCTTGTGACACAACGCTTCCCAAAAGCAACTGCACACAGTCGAAACAGAGTCATAAGATAAGCAGGCGAGCAGAATCCGGATGAATCACGCAGACGCGGCCACCTAACTAAACACGACCGAACAGGCTCGACCACCAAGACTAACTTAAATTTCTCCAGGCATCCTGAAGTTGTGGGATTGCGAAGCTTCCGAAGCCACCTGGCCTGCGGTGTGTCGATGGTCCACAATGGATTGAAAACCTGACCAAATGATGGCTGGTCACAGCGGCACAGTCGAGACTGCGCCGGGGCCACTTGTCAGAATCACCCAGGCGTATGTTGAGTGCAGATGACTCAAGCTTCTCGGGACTACTGGTGACATCAGACAAAAGCCCCCCATTGACTACTTGGCGTTGCGCATGGGGGGTTAGAGACGACGTGCTTGCGTGCTTCCCTGCAGCAATCTGCAGCCTGGTTGGCATCATTGAAGGTGGCGAAGACCTTGCGGAGGCGAAGTGGGTTACCGCTGTTTGTAAAATTTTACTGGCTCGGGCTTTCACCACATTGACATGAAAGACACCTGAAGTATTAAACATCCGCATGCGTGTGAAACTGACTCATCAGAGTAAGACTGTTGCTGTCTAGCAGTGGGAACACGAACTGCCTCCATGCTCCTCTGACGTATGCCGGCCGATCACTGATTCATGTCTTGACAGGCCTTGGCATATTTCCAAATCTCCAATCTTGCGCAAAGAAGGGGCAATCTCATCTTTCATCCGCGGGCCTGCTGCCCGCGGTTCAGGTTGTGGTCTGGCGGGAAGATGCTGGGCACGCCCGAATCCACCTGCCCACTCGACTTGTTGATGCGGGGCTGGCGGCATGCAACGACTGCTTCAGCTTCCTGGATCTGGCTACGGTTTGGGTGTTGGGCAGGGCTTTTGAGTGCCCAATCCCGATTTGATTGCTTTGACAGGAAACTTTCAGATCTCTTCATGGTGCCTATCCTTGCTGAACACCCCTCTTCCAAAAGCAGCTGCTGCAGAGATCTAGAGTCTAGAGCTTCGGGCTCAGCAGCGCGGTTGTTGGGATCAGGGCGCAGAAGCAAAGTGCCTCGAAGACCATCGCGCCCCACGCAGCCAGGGAGAGAGAGACGACAATCTCAGCGTCTCATCTTTTGTCTTTGTGCCGTTTGTCCCCTTTTCATATTCAGAAGCGATAAATCAGCAGAATTTCAAGCTGCAAATGCCTCAAACCAACCAACCAACCACCCCCCGACCGACCGACCGGCCGGCCGACCGACCAACCGACCAACCAACCAACCGTTTGACCACGGAGAAGCAGATGGCAAAGTACAAAGTAAATACTTTGAAGTAAACATCGAACACGCAGGCAAGGAGCGAGTTGGTTCGTTAGCTAGCCAGTTCTTTGTTTGTCCACAACATTTAGACCTACATCCATGTGTTCATGTGTCCGCTTGTTTGTGTATAGACTCGTGTCAGACATACTGAGCATAGTGCTTATTGGATTCCTTGTTCATGCATGTCAGGTATAAACTTTTATATACGTAGACATATGTAATTCTACTTCGTGCTTGTCGTACGATGACATGACTTAGAAAAATCATACATCATATCAACGTGTCTCAGTGGGCTGAGGAGCTCGTAAGGCCGTTTAGTCGTGAATCCATTGCTGCTCGCACTCCCCAGGAGCGGAACTTTTCAGTCAAGGACTTCGACATGTTTGAGGCAGGGCATTGCTTTCTCGAAGGGAGGGCAGCCACTTGGCATTTCACCAAGCTTGGATGCTGCATAAGCATGCATCTTTTTCTGCAAATTTGTCCCTTAATCTCAGCATTTCGACATCCTGCCCCTTGTCCAAAGCCTGTCCTTGCCTTGCGAAGAGCCGTAAGGCACGAGTAACCAATCTGGGTCCCAGACTGGAAATAGAGCCAGGCTGCGCTTGCCCCTCTGCAAGCATCTGGTGTAGCCACCTGATGTCCATATAAGCAAAATGCATCCAAGCACTCATAACCCAAGCAATACGACTTGCAATCCATCAAACATGCAACTGTCGAGTATCGAAACGGGGGCCACGAAAGGTACGACACAAACCACAAGTGCACGCAAAGTGAGCCAACCCCATCAGTCGGGCTGGGGCCCTGGGTTCGCACCAAACACCAAACGTCAAGCCCTTCAGCCCTTCTAGTCACCTCGGCACTTTCCAAAGCGAGGCCCGCACGCGTGTATGGATACGCTTCGATTTTGGCGGCCTTGCAGATGCCAGCATCTCAATTCCTAAAAAGCGTGGTGCATGCTAAGGGAACTCTGTGCACTCTCGGCATTGGCAAGAAGGCTTGTGCCTGTGCGTGCTGTCATGGCGTCATAATTGCAGAAGACAAGGGGAGAAGCGAACCCAAGCCCTTCATGCCGGTTCGAAGCTTGCGGAAACCTCCTTTGCCCACAATGCTCGCACCCTGAACCTCCAACCGTCACCCGGCCTTCGAGCTCGTCCTTGGTGGCGCGACACGAAGTCACTAGATGCGACGACTATGGGCTGCGACCAGCGTGAGGTTCCTACATCTAGTGTGGTCGACTGCTTCACTTGTTTGAACTGCCTCCTCCTCCTACTAGCGTTAGAACTGTCTTTGCATGCAAACTCGCGATATAGATGGAATTATCCTGTGCCCGGGTTTCTTCATACGATACTCTTGCAAGCGTCTCTTCCCACACAAACTTTTTTGTGTTGTGCATCCAAGTCTGCCGGCGCTTCCCAACTCGCTTCTTGCCATAGTCAAAAATCTAGTGGCACTGCTGGGCATAAACGATACCTGTCTTAATGGCTCTGAACTTGTACAACGAAGCTTTTGACATAATAGCTTAGCGTGTTTTCGATTATGGAACTCACTACATAATAGTATCTGTCGTCGGTCGTCCCGGCTTGGACATGCGATCATACTTGCTTCTTCCAAAAGCTTTGCGTTGGTATTTATTTGTACGATCTATATAGGTGGGAGCTTTGCTTAAAATATTGCGAATGCCCCTCGTTTGGTACGCATTTAGCCTCTTTGCCATAGCGGTGGTTAAGTGGATAGTTTTTAACAAAATCTTAGCCCATATAAAAGTTTGCTACGGACAATGGCATCATACACTATTAACTTCCATCTCTTGCTGGGTTGGGTTGCTTTCCGATTAAGGGTTGAATTTGATCCGCGTGCGTCTTACCTCTTATAGCTTGATTGAAGTTTCATGACGATTGTTGACCCCCCTGATAATTTCATTACCAAGATACGTAGCTTCGTATTCTGTGGCTGGGGGTGTACCGTCTTGAAGATGTATGGAGCCCTCATTATTCATAGGTATTGCGACGCACCTGTCGCTGTTCAGATGGAGTCCATACTGCTGTGAAAGCTTCTCGGTGAAACATAAAAGTTTGTTGAGACCTCTGTTGCTTTGGGAAAACATAATAGTGTCTTCAGCCTCGTAAGCCATGTCAAAATCCAGACCCGGAGCTCTATTATTGATTATGTAACCAGTGATGCAAGTCTGAACATCAGAATCAATGCACGACATAACCAGTGTGAACAAGAAAGGGCTCATCGGGTGGACTTGCTCGGTCGGAAATCGTAATGCGTCTTTGTTAAACGGTGCTCTACCCTACACCCTACACGAGGCCGCACATCCCGCCTCAAACCTAAACCTCGAGACGCTCAAAGACAAACGCTGAACCGTTTTGGTTTGCTTGGGCCGTTTTATTTTAGGCGGATTCCTATTATAGCCAAGTCTCGATGACTTCCAGAACCTGAAGGGGATGGTGCGAAGAGAAGGGGAGAGGGCGGGACATCGGTCACATTACATGTTGGAAACATGTCGGTGCATGTATGCAAGCAGAGATTTAGACATATGTATATATATATATATAACAATGAAATACAATATAACATAAGATAGACTGTACAATGTATTATTATACAGTGTATTGTGCACTTTAACATAATATACATACAACTGAAGTCGATTACAAAATTCTATATATATGTATATATGTATATAGACATAAGCATAGACGTAAACGTGGACACAGACATAAACATATATGTATACATATATGGACAAGCCGAACCAAACCAAGTCCAGCCAAGCCGCTTTACCATCAGAACTCTTAGATCTAGTCTACCAGAAGGCCGCGTCTAACAGAAGACCCTGTCTGCTCAAAGTCCTATCTGCCAGAAGACCCCATGTAAGAGAAGAGCCCGTGTGACAAAAGACCCTGTCTGACCCTAAACGACCGGCAAAGGACTCTTGAAAGTATTAGACCGATACATACGTAACATGCACATGCTTTCCGTTTTGATAGACTGGGCCATAACCAGTCACCGGTACAGGTCATTTCCACAATGGTACAAAACCCAATATCATGTTGGAGCACAGGTTGCAGTCAGCAGGCTCTATTTAGGAGTTGCCAGAAACTTTCTTCAAGTCTTGTATATGCTTCGTCCTGGAAATAACGAACATGATACAGGGAGGTCCATGTAAACAGGTACATCAAGCTGGGACGTCCTACTACACGACCATTCTACGACTCGTGATCCAAATGTTGGCCACTTCAAGGATCTTCTAGAACATGAAAATCACCCTTAGCCCATCCAAGGCCTGACGGACGACATTGCTTCCTTGAGATCTGTCCTCAGGCGTCGGGGCTGCGGGTTTGCGATGTCTTGCAGAGGTATGCATAAGTCGTTGCGTAAGAAGACTCTCAATAGGTCCTGAAAGCAGCTGTGAAGCTCGCACATCGAGACTTGCTCCTGTCGGGTTGAATCTCGGCAGCATGTATGCATACAAGAAATTATATGTCTCTGTGAGTGTGTGTGTGTGTGTGTGTATGTGTGTATGTATGCGCGTAGGTTTGTATGGGTGTATTACGGATGTATGTATGCATGCATGCTTGCATGTATTTGTGTAGAAGATGTGTATGCGTATGTGTATATATTTGGAGGGTGTTGGCCTCGTGATGGCAGAGTAGCATCTGTGACTGTTGGAACTACACCGCACCTTTCTGCAACTGCTATTTTGCAGGATAGTTAACCAGCGAGTCACGGAGGCCTGCCACACCAATACTCCGTCAGCATGCAGAGTGGCAGGTAAATGAGGCTGAGCAAGACCTAGCCCGATCTGTGCGAAGCATGACATGCATGAGGAGGCCTGGCAAGAGGGTGTACTGCAGTAGTTGTATTGTCTGTCAGTCTATTTCAGTTTGCCCGCGTTTGCTGGTCGTGAACATTCGTTCCCAAGTCCTGGTGCTAATCTGGTGTTGCTGTTTAGCGACGCCTGGGTGAACATACACGACCTGCGTTAGCGGATAGGACACCGATGGAACTTCACTACTGACTGATCATACACAAACTTATTCTACTTGACAGAATGTACCACATTGCCTGGCGAGTCGAAACTTCTCGAGTGGCAGGGTTGGCAGGCAACGACGAAGACCCCCGAGGTTTAGGCTTGAGTGCTCTTATTCCGTTTAAGGGTCCTGGTGTTCCTACATGTTTACACTGTGCCTTACACCTTCGTTGAAACTTCAGCACAGTAAACATGATGTGGCCTCATCCAGAACCTGGCTCTTCGCTTCGGCTCCACAAGGGCCGGAGAACGTTTAAAGCTTCGACCAAACTTCATGTTGTCTGCTCCTGATAGAATCACCGAACACTGGCTATTATTGGAAGCAAAGAACGTCCAAGAACCTTGAATGCTGCCCAAATAGCTTAACGAGTCCACACGACCTTCTACGTCGTGGCAGATGTCTAAGCATCTCTTAACCCCTCTAGAGCAGACCTCGTGCGCCACGAGACATGGGAGCAATATGGAGCAATCTGTAGTACGGCCCCACGAGAAAATCCGGGAGCGCTGCCCAGCACACCACGACACAGAGGCCTCGGCAATCGACAACGAAGTCAAGAAGGGAAAACAAGGGGCATGCCTGGCATGCGAAAGAACGAAAATTGCTCCCTTGCGTTTGCTCCTCTCGGTGGGAAACGAGCTGACATTGCCGGAGGCTGGTTGGAGCAAACAAAAGGAATTTCCTCTCGGCTCCCCCCAACTTGGCTCTGATATCCCTGAACATGCTGCGATAAATTGTGCCAGGGAGCCCATGAAGAATCCAAACTCGCGCAAAGGCTTCAGCACCTCAGAGATAGCTGCTTTGTATTTTTGGGCCTGCAAATAGGCTTCAGGGCATGCTGCGGAAGTTCGCGACCAGGGACGTGCCGGCGTTTGTTCTGCCGATACAGTACCGGGAGTAGAGAAAAAACAGCTGTCTTCTAAAGGCCCTGCTTACCGCGGGTTCTGCTCCAAGCGAGCCTTCGGTTGCCGTCACTTAGGTAGGTGCTGATGCCAAATTCGCGAAGAAGGACAGCGCCGTCGTGACCGAAGTGGCCAACGACGCCTGAAGTCAGTTTTCAGGCTTGGTGCATGTGGATGGCCACTGGCAGATCAAGCTAATCTCGGAGCAAAAGAGGCTTGGATGGACATGTGGAGAGGATTCGCCAAACTAACCGCATGGTATGCGCGAACCCTGACAAACAAGCCCCCACTAAACACTTACATAACTGTGAAAACTAGAGGCCGAAGGAAGCCTTGCCCGCGTGGATCAAGGTCCAGGTCATGCGGCTGCCGTAGTTTTCCTGACGCTGGACTAAACCCTGAGGTGCAATGAAGCCGTTCTCGAGGGCTTTGCTCAAATTTGCATCATTCGGTCTCTTCTCCTTCCGACTGGGACCTGTCGGTCTGTCTGAGCTACGGCATTCATCCTCAGCTTCCCTTCTTGAGCTCCGAAGCTGGTGTGTCCGCAGTCCTTGCGGAGAAAAGAGTCTGCCCAGAAGTCGGTGTAGACCTTGCGGCACCAATGGCCAACTTTTGGGAGCCTTGAGCCGCTGAACCTAACCCGAATGAATCTTCAAGCCTGAATTGCCTCCACAGCTAAGCCCTAAGCCCTAAATCTTGCCCGGCTGGCCTGACCCCTGGAAAGCCTACCAGGCACTTTCCAAAGCCCTGAGCCCCCGGGCAAAGACGACGTCCGAGCCGAGGCCGACGATCTGGCAGCGGCACAAGGCGACCATGCTCACGCGATGCACCCACACATAGAGACACAACAGATAGATAGGATAGATAGGATAGATAGGATAGATAGGATAGATGGGATAGATAGATAGATGGATAGGTGGATAGATAGATAGAAGATGGATGGATGGATAGATACATAGGTAGACAGATAGATAGATCGATCGGGAGATAGACAGATAGATAGCTGTGTGTGTAGCTATTTGTTTTCTGTGTATGCATCTATTTATGCCGTTTTGGAAGCATGTACGTATTTCGTGGTCAGTTATTTATTTGCTAGTTATTTATGCACTTATGTATGTATTTACATAACGGCATATTTAAAAATGTAAGAGCTTAGCTTGTTAGTCGGTAAGTTTGTCAGGTAGTTACACAGTTAGTTAGCTAGTTAGTTAGTTAGTTAGTTAGTTAGTTAGTTACTTAGTTAGTTAGTTAGTTAGTTGGTTGGTTAGTTAGTACGTTAGTCAGTTAGTCAGCTCGCTAGCTGGATGGCTAGGTAGTTAGTTAGTTCGTTGTGTATTGATATGCTGTATGACAGACACGCAGGCAGCCAGGCAGGAAGGCAGGCAGAAGAATAGAGAGACAGACGTGCGCGTCATAAACGTTGAGATATGACAGCCCGTTGGCGCGTTTGCTTCTGCTGTTTGCTGTGAGTCGATGCGACTGAAGACGCTGAAGCATTGCAATGGACATCCGGTGACTTGCGTACAGCTTTCCCATCCCACCGTGCAGCACATCCATCGAACGATGATTAGATGCGGCGCTGGCTGTGCCCAAGCTTGCCAGAACGGCCAGGAATACTGATAGCAGCGATGCGATGCTCATTGTGTTCCTGGGTGGACAGCATGCCGGTTGCTCATGCACATGCACGGGACCCTCAAGAACTGCCAATGCCACACTCACAATTGTCAGACCTGATGTTACTGCCAATGACCGCAACAAGCCATGCTGTGCTGCAGACAAGCCCTTGAAGCCCGGAGGCCTGAAAGTTCTGGGGCAGGCACGAGCCGGTCACAATCGAGAACAAGACGTAGGACAGTGGAATCTGACAAGCGGCCACAAGGATTAAGTCGCACCAGTCATGTCGCACCAGGTGATAAGACACGATTCAGATGAATGTGGTCGCATCTGTCCTACCACTGTGACACTCTGCGTACAAAGTTAAGCTTGCTGTGGTCTTGCCATTGATGCTGGCATGCGCAAGGGCTAAACCGCACATGCCAGTTGGCCAGCTGGCCTTTGTTATCTATTTCTTATCTGCCTATTACAGCCTTATAGTGTCACACGCATAGCCCAGAAAGTATGTTACGGCCTCGATGCTTTATCGCACACCGTCTGCAATAACTACCTGAAGCCTGTCAGCAAGCCCTGCGTAGAAACCCACGCGCACATCAAAGGCGTGTGTACACATGTACCTATATACGCACAGTGTATTCACTGAGAGCAAAACTTTCGTGTTCATAGAGACATGTGCACAGTCTCGTACGTTACGCCCAAATGGGGACTGCCAGCGAACCAAATTAAATGAAGCCCCTCGGCGTGTCGTCACGGAAACCGGTACTGCGCAGCTGCACACACACAGAGAACCTCCCCCTCCACGCTTTGCTGAGGCTTCCGCCGCACTCACGATCAGGAGAAGCCCAAGAGCGCCCAGCCTTGGCACAACACGAAGATGACATGTGGCACCGCAACTGCACTGCGGAAATGTAATAAGAAATAAAGAAAAACATGGACGAACATACTGATCATCAAGAACCTTTATCAGGTCGGACACAAAATGGCTCGTTGCGGCTGTGCTGCTAACCAGTTCCACAACTGTCCTACCGGGTCCTTGACGGTCTTGGTGCCTTCACAGATCTGAATCTTAATGACCCGTGGGCGGCAAGGCTGGGCACCAAGCAACACGCTTTGCGTGTGGACCATAAGGTAGAAGAGCACGAAACCCATCGAGCCAGCCTGAGGTGAGGAGGTCCCGATAAGCGCGCGACAATGACTGCCGATATCGGGGTACAAAGCTCCAGAACAGCCCCTGGGTTGATTGCTTCAAGGCTATCCAAGAATCTCAGAACCGCCCGGTTTGGTGGATGATTCGTTTAGGCATTGGACGTCCAAAGGTGGATGACCCGGGCAACTTTGCACGAGATATGCGCAAAATCAGAAGCAGAGCATCTCGAACTCGGGGCCAGGGACCAACATGGACCAACCCTGATCTGGCACGAATTTCCTTCTGGCATCACGTCTTGCAGGTTAATCGTGCACACTCAAAAAGCACTCGCACCACAAGGAATGCTCGAGGTTCCGACGGCTAAGAGCAGATCCCCAAACAAAGTCTCGGTGACCTGCGCAGCACATGCGAAGCTTCACCTCCTCGAAGGGCCCTAGGATGGTAACCTCAAACCCAGGCGGCGACACTTTTTTGCTTCGAGACTTGGAGTCTTGGCTGCGGAGCCCAAGAAGCACCCTGGACCATGGGCATATCGTGTTGGCTCTGGGCTTGGTGGATCTTCGAAGTCATTTAATGCTTCACCCAGGGAAAGGTGGTGAGGCTCGCTCTGCAGGACGGCCGCACTTCTGGGGATCAGGGTGCTTAGCCGGGAGAACGGTGGGGCAAACACCCACTTGCGTTGTGCATACCCCCGGCTTGGAAGAAATTCGCATACCTTCTGCCCGAGTCCGGGTGCGGTAGGCGATAGACACTGAATTGCAGTAAACTTCTGCAGAATGCTAGAAACGCGTGAGAGAGTAGGATGGTCTCTGCGGCTTTGCCTGCAGTGCGTCCTTCCTCCTGGACTAGCTAGTACTTAGCACTGCTCATCCTGGGGCGGATTTGGGCTTGCTGCTCTTTTCAGGCCGCGCCAGCAGCCGCTGGCAGCATGAATCTTCATCGCCTCCTGAGCGGATTTTGGCTTCACGGTCAGCATGCCCTCTAAGCACCTTTGGAAGCCTGAGTCCCGGAGCAGCAGGGGAAGAGCAGGGAGATTGGTCGTCAGTGGCAGAGCGAGGCAGCGATGTCAGCATCTCGATACAGGTCAGGCGAATGAAGTTCTGCTGAGCTGCACTACCAACCGCAGAATCTGGTCTTGTATCACGGATGCTTCTCACCCCTAAACCTTAGTGAAGTCCGAATCTGACAGTAGACAGCCGGGTGGGGACTGCAAAGACGGGGAAGACCTCGCAGCCCCGCTACATGAGGTAGAACAAGAAATGCACGTAACGGCTCTTTGTCAATCTCTGATGGTGCTGCAAGTCTCATGAAAGGCTAGTAAACAGGCCAGCAGAAAAAGAAGTAATTACAAAAGCAAGGATGAAGACTGCCAGTCGCACTGAACACTCCAGCGCTCCTCTGAGAGTACCGGGCCATGGATCTCGATCTTGCGGGTGCCCTCGCGGCCCATGCCATACAGCTTCCTGTCCAGAATCAGCCGCATGCGCCGAAGGCTTACCAGGGTTTCTAATTCGGAGTCTGGAGACAAAAGTGGATCATAGTGGCGAGGCATTGCGGCTCTGTCCCGCGCGTGCGGGGGCTTTGGAGTTTGAGGCAACTGACGTCAGAAGCATCCAAGGCACTCCAGGGGCACGTCGAAGCCACCAGGGCCAGACAGCTGCACCAAGTCCTGCATCGCAAGTCACAGCGCGGCTCTCCACGACGAGGGCGAAGACTACATGACGTACACAGCTGCCGTTTGTGAGGCCAAAGGCTCACAGTGACCAAGTCTGTCCATGGAATAGTGTCTAAATGTGGAAGGGGGGATCTTGCAAGCTTCTCAGCAGCTCGTCCTCACTGCTGGCACCGAAAACAACCCGGCCGACCTGGCAGTCCGACTACCTAGCGGCTCGAGCTAGCGAAAGGAAAGCCGCACCTGATCTCATTCATAAGTACATGTTTCGGGTCTTGGAGGCTTCGCCTGAGACTTGAGCTTGCTCAAGAGAGGAGGAAGCAGAGGCGATTGATAAGCGCCGAGCCGCGCCTGAGACCAGTAGATAGCACCGGCGCACATGACGCATGGCTCCGTGGATGTGTACCTTGCGATGCTTATAGCAAGACGCAAGCATTGAAGCTATCCGAAGAAGCAGAAGAAGAAGAAGGTGAACACGCACAGCACGGCTTCACTTGCGACGCCGAGCAGCAGCGTGCACTTGGCCCGTATCTCTGGACCAAGCCCGCTTTCCTGGAAGCCCGCATGCCATGTAGGTATAGCACCTATCTATGCATTCACGTATGGGTGGGTGGGTGGGTGGGTGG